GGTGGAAATCACTCTCAATTTCATCATAACTTTTCAAGTCAAGCCCCATCCTTTGCTAGTGCCCCAATACCCAAGTTCAAACAAGAGAACATGGATAGGGCATCAAGTTCTAAGTCTTAGGGTAGTCTCACCAGTGGTTGTCCCTTTTTGGTTTATCAGAAGCATGGTAAGAACCATATCAAAGAGTGTATGTCTGGTAGTGGTAATGGTGTTGGATGTGGCAAATCCAACCACAGGTTGAGGGAAAGCCCAGTGGCATCAGGTAGGGGTAAGGATGTTGGCTCACCCTAACACTTCAGCAGCTCCACTAGGTCGCCCAACTCAACAGAGTGCATCTCCTGGTGCAGATGGCTAACAACACCAAAACAAGTTCGATGCTTTGCAGACTTTACAGGATTAGGAAGATTACCCTAATTAGTCAAAAGTATGTCGTGTGTATTTCAACTTGATGTTTATGCATTTCTAGATCCACAGGCCACACTTTCTTTCATGACTCCATATATTGCATTGAACGTTTATGTCAATCCCAAAATCCTCTCAGAACCCTTCTTCGAGTCTACCCATTTTGGTGAGTCAATCTTAGTTAAGTAGATATACAAAAGTGCCAAGTCTCAATTTTTCCAGGAAGTCACCATAGCTGATCTAGTAGAGTTGGAAATGCTTGATTTCGATATTATTCTTGGCATGAACTGCTTATTTCAAAAGTCATTTGGGTGCAATAGTCAAAAGCTTAACACTTTAGCACTCAACATCAAATAGTTTTTGCCACCTTGTCTGGCCCCACCCCTATTTTCCCATCTCATCTGGCCCCACCCATTTCTTCATTGAAATTAAAAACAAATAAAAGTCTTCAACACAATTCTAAACAAAATATAAGTTTGCTAGAAAACCTACCACAACTTACCACCTACAAGTATTCTTCATTGAAGTCTACATAAATAAAGTCCTACCACAACTTACAACCTACAAGTATTCTTCATTTAAGTCTACATAAATAAAGTCCTACTCCTATTGCCACTTCATAAATTGGTAAGTTCTTTTTTAGCATGTTTTTTTATGAGCAGTGTGATTTCTCTATTATATTTTACTTTTGTTGTGTTGCGAAAGGAGAGCAAGAGGAATAATATTTCTCTGTCAGCAATGTAATATTTACTAATATGCTTGATTAAATCTTTGTTTTGTAGGATGCTGTTGTTGATTCTTGTCATTTGAAAGGGATAGATTTTTGAAGAAACCTAATTCTTCTCAACTAAGTTCTAGGCTAGTTTTAGAGATAATTCTCCGCATTTTATAAATGAGTTTGATTTGCAGTCACTTAAACCGGATCCTGCCATCCTGGAGAAAGAATATTCATTCATTCATATATATAGCACTAAAATACGAGATAAAGTGAGAAGACACTACATTTAACAAATGCCTTGTCAATTGATTATTTATGGATATCCTCAAGTTAGATTTCAAACAAAAATGAGTTGATTTATTCGACATGGTTTAAGAGTTCATATTCTAGGTAGATGGAGTATAGTGTGAAGAAAGATGTGTTTTACCTATGTAGCTATTTATATAAAAATGACTTGTAAAGGGAAATGTAGGTGATTTTTCCACAAAAATTGATTTTAAGACTTGGAAAGCATAGATTGGAATGAATTGATATACATGTTGGTGAAGTAAATTGTGTCCACAATAGGACTTCCAACAAGATGCTTGATTTTGAGAATCAATCTCAATACATTCAAGTTGTTTTTAACAACCAATTTGAGAAAAAAAGAAGTGAGCATAGAATTCTCTTACAAGCTTCTACTACTACAGCAAGGTTCCTCTTAGAATTTGGGTTGTCTTTTCGAGGTCATGGTGAAAGTGAATCTTCAAAATATAAAGGCTTGTTTTTAGGTCTTTTTGAATGGCTTGGAAAATGCTTTGGGATATAAATAGTGTTATTTTAAAATCTGGTCCAAGAAATGCTATGATGACTTCTCCAAAAATTTACAAGGATATGATGAGTGTTTGTGCACAAGAAACCATGAAAGCTATAATTAATGACTTTGATAGAGATTATTTTACAATTTTAGTTGATGAATCTAAGGACATCACACCATGAACAAATGGTCCTTGCTTTGCGGTATGTTAATAAAAAAGGCGAAGTGAATGAGCGAGTTATTACTATTCTTCGTGTTGGTGATACATTTGGGGGTTTTGAGGACAAGCATCGTAACATCTAGAAGTTAAAGATGAAATGCTTAGTCGCTCATTATTTTGGTGTAAACATGAATTTTTCAATAGAAGCAAAAGATACTTTTTTATGTTTTAGACAACAATAAGAAGAAACATTGATAGGAAGGGTTCCTTTTATTTGTAATTGTTTATTATTTTTGGGGGACTATACAGTTGTTATAGAATATGTCTATCAAAAAAGAAAAATGACCAACTCTACAATAATTATTCAATTTTAGTCCTATAAATACTTGTCAAGAAAAACAACTGAATCCCATGCATTTTCCCGTGGTCTCTTCAGATAGGTTATTAGAAAATAATATGCTTAAAGAGTTAAGACAGTAACTTCATTAGTATAACAACCAGCTTCTTTTACGGGTGAATAAAGGATCCAACAATTGACATTCAAGACTGTGTGATGATCTGTTGTAGAGATTTTCATATATCTAATATCAATAGAAGTGATCACCTGTTAACTGTCCACAATTACCCAAAATTTCAAGGAAGGGTATCCCAAAACATCATTTGAGATGAAAGTAGCTTGAATGAAGTTTGCCAACCTTGATAATATGTTGTTGAGTAATGGCTTCATCCAACCAGATAGAGAATAATTCTCTGAGAAGGCTACCATCATTTTTATCTTTAGGTCACATTAGCTAAGGGATACAGCCTGTGTCGCTACGTGTCCTTTCTTCTCAATAAATTTCTCAGAATATTGGCGTTCTGTTGAGGCAAGTTGTGAATTAAGAAAGTAAAATAGAAACGACGAGTAAAACCTAGAAAAGGAGGAAGCATCTAGATAACAAATTCTTTCTCATATTCCTTATTTATCTTTTGTTGGAGAGAAGTTTGAGCAGTAGAATTGAAGTCATGAGTCAAAGCCAGTCAGATAGACAAGACCAGAAGCAATGAGTAAACCAAGAGTTCCATGCGTAAAATTAGAAATCTGGAGAAAACAATTTCTCGTAATCTTGCTATGGAAACAATATACAGTTGCATAGGTGACATCCTTTCTCCAATAGAATATAGACTTGCAACAACTGGAAATACAAGAACATTCATGGGGAACAAATTAATGCAACTTAACAAGGACATTAACTAGACGCTAAAATACTAATTATCACCAACCCTTGAAATTTAATCAGTGACATGATTTGACAATGAAACTAAACTGTATAAATGTTATTATTATAATCAAGGTCTCCCAACTAAAGAGTTGTTTCTGAACAACTTTGCAAAAAAGAAAGTGAAACCATTTTCAGTTTGATATGTTTAATTTACCCATATATAGAAACAACAACAGCATGCTTCGTGTAGTCTCACAAGTGAGGTTTGGGGAAAGTAGGATATACACAAACCTTACCCTACCTTTGTGGGGTAGAGATATTGTTAAGAGAAGTTATTGAAGCAGGGAAAATGTGATAGCAAGATACAAAATAAATACAAATAGTATCACACGTTGATAAAGGAACTATGCAGTTACTAACTACTACTACTAATAGACGGGGAAGGGATGATGCTAGCTCCTATCTCTCCCTCATAAAGTGCGGCAACACTTGGTTAGCTACTAACTGTCTACTCTCATTATCAACCTCTACACCTTCCTATCTAGGTTCATGTCCTAAGTAAGCTTGAGTTGAGTCAGGTTCTATTTAATCCCCACCCCAACACCTTTACCTCTCCTAACTCTTAGTATAGCCAACCTCTCAGGCCTCCTTACTAGCTCATCCGCAAACCTCATCTTCACATGTCCGAACCATCTGAATTTCGCTTCTCTCATCTTGTTTGCCACGGGGGGCACTCACACCTTATCCCTTATTACTTTGTTTCTAATAATATCTCTTCTAGTGTGCCCACACATCTATTTAAGCATCCTCATCTCTGCTAAATTCATCTTTTGAACGTGGACATTATTGATTGGCCAACACTTTATCTCATACAACAATATCGATTTAACCACCACTCTATAGAATTTACCTTTTAAGTTTTGGATGTACATCTAGTACCCTAGACGCAAGCCTTCATTTTCACCCACGTCGCTCCTATACAATGTGCGATATCATCATCAATCACCCAATCTCCTTGGTGTATGGACCCGAGCTACTGGAAGCTCCATTTCTTGTGTATGACTTGTGTGTTGATCTTCACTCTCACAATTGTCTCATGTGTTACGTCATTAAACTTGCACTCCAAGTACTCTTCTAGTGTTGCCTTACCTAAAACTTTTAGACTCTAGGATTTGATTTAACCTTATATGTGAACTAGATTTCCAACATGATTTTGCAAGCTCTAGAATTGTTCAACTTGACAATATATGGTTTGGTCTTGTGAGGAAGGATTAAATGAATGTTTTTTCCCAATGTTCTACCGGAACCATTTAATCCACAAAAAAACTAACCCCTTTCCTTTCCCCTTCTTCTTTAGGGCACCTCTATAGAGGACCCATTAATGATTGTTGTTACTTCCCTTCCAACCTCCTTGCCTCCAAACCCCCAAGTCCATTTTTTTCTTGCTCTTTACAGATATTAATTTCTGCTTCTAGGAAACTTCTGCTTCTGTGTGTTTAGTCTAGAATATAAAATAATATGCACAATCTTGCCAGACTATTGCATGTTTTGGTATCCGACACAACAATTTTTCAATTCCGTTACAAAATTATTTATTTCATGAAGGTCTCACTCACATTTTACACAACAAATCAATATTGACCAACCATGCAACTTGATAAGAAAAATCTTGACACAATTTAGGAAAACAATGAATCAAGCAGAATGTAACATGGAAATCACCTGTCTCAGAGATGGTCCTCCACACATAACCAAACCATTATCCCGGCAAGAACGAGGAGTTTCAAACTGATTGATATCAAGCTTCTTGTTAATGAACCCAACTTGAAAGTAAATACTCCCAGACGATGGCAAATCCACACGGATCTCATTCACGTTTAGCCACAACAAGAATCTCTTAACTTGAATTCCTTCTAAATCAGTAATCGACCCAAGACTCAGCTTCCCAGTAACCTTCTCATCATAATAAACCAAATACTCAAACTCCACATAACAAGGCTTGTCCAGTAAAACTTCAAATGTTCCATCATCGGAAAGAGAGTAAGATTTTACAGAACTAGGTAAAAGCCCTGGAGGAAGGTTGAATTTAGTGAGGATTTCGTATACTGTTGTATTGGGTAGATTGAGAGAGAGAGAAGAAGGAGATGAGAGGAATGGGAGGAGAAGAAGAATACTCAATTCGATTGCTGGATTGAAACCCCCCATTGTTGTTGATGCCTCCACAGAACCGTTAGCTGCAACTTTATCGAAATGTGGGTTACTTGAGAAAATTAACGGAAAGGTGTGAAATAAGTCTCTCTCTTTTTTTTTTTCTTTTTTTTTTTTGACAGATTGATCAAGAGATCAAATTTCTTTTTAATGTAATTAGATAAATATGGTACTAAATTAATATTTCTAAAAATTTCTATACCTTTATAAAATATGAAAAAGAACGCTTCGATAATTCAAATTAAATCATTTTTTTAAAAAAAAAAATTCATCTTCTTCGTCTCCTCTCTCTCTCTTCTTCCTCTCTTCTTTCTTGGGGGATTGTTCTTCTTTTTCCTCAAAAAATTCAGAAATTCCTCGTTACTCTTCCTCTCCAGTCCTTCATTATCTTCCTCTTCAGTTGTTACTCTCTCATCTTTTTGACTGTAATCGTGTTCGACTAGAAATTGGTAAGTTATTTTTTTGAAATATTTTACAATTTTTGAAGTTTTTTTCTTGGATTAATGAACAATAAAATGTTCCATAGATGTTAAAATTGAATAATTGACTTAACGGTGTGTATTATTTAATATTTTTGAAAGAAAATCAATCAATTCAAAAAATCCTCGTTTTAAGGAAATGTATATGTATCGTTATCATTCAACGAAAAGTCATTTTTTGTTGCTGTTGTTGTTCTTTTTGTGGCCATTTTGATGATATGATTTTAGAAATATAGTGTTGTTCAGGTGTCCAACATTATTTTATTTGTTGAAACATTTAGCATATGTTGCCACATTTTAGTGATATGTTGGTGCATATTCAAACAATTATCATATGTTGTAACATCTCACTTTAGGTCAACATCTTGAACATCTGTTGCCACATAAGATTCATATGTTGCTACAATCGGTACATTTGTGTCAACATATGATTCATATGTAGCAACATAAGATCTATATGTTGCAATACAAATTTTATTTGTCGCAACACCAGGTAAATATGTGGCAGCATAATGTTAATTTATCGCAACAGACTATCCATCTGTTGCAACATACTGCTATTATTATTTTATAATGAATTGTAAAATCAATCTTTTTATTTATCTTGTAGATAAAATGATACAAGAAACTTCATCTTCTGACATGAAATGCTCTTTTTGTCTATGCGAATAATGTGAGCAGCAACATGATTATTTTATTAGTCGTGTTAATAAACTCACTGATATTTTTAAGAAAATGTCTCATAATATCGATGTGCAAAGATCCAAGAAGATTTCACAGCCTTTGAAGCGTAGGAGGTTGAAAAATATATTTTCCAAATAACACTTTATGCAATTAGTGAGAAGAAAGAAAAGGAGAAAAAGACAAAGGAGGAGAAGGAGAAGAAGAAGAATGCAAAGGAGAAGAAGGAAAAGGAGGAGAAGGAGAAGGAAAAGGAGGAGAAGGAGGAGGAGAAGGAGAAGGAAAAGGATAATGATAAGGAGAAGGAGAAGAAGGCAAAGGAGGAGGAGGAGAAAGAGAAGAAGGAGAAGAAGGCAAAATAGGAGAAGGAGAGAGAGAATGAGAAGGAGAAGAAGGCAAAGGAGAAGAAGGAGAAGAAGGCAAAACAGGAGAAGGAGAAGGAGAAAGAGAAGGAGAAGAAGAAGAAGAAGAAGAAGAAGGCAAAGGAGATAGAGAAGGAGAAAAATAAAGAGAAGAAAGTCGAAGTCGTCAATTATGATGTGAAGTGACAATATCTATTTGAAGGTTTTAACATTGATGGCGAGGGTCCAACTGAACTAATGTCATCCTTCTCGCAATGGATAAACGAGGGTCTTTACAAGCATCATGCAAAAAAGTAAGTAAAGTAAGGTCGTTCGACTATTATTAATATTTTTTCTTATTGTCCACTAAATAATTATTTATAATGATTACACAATTGCAAAGGAAACAAGAAGGATCATTACTTAGCCAATTGCTCAAAACTTTATTTTGACCAGCTTGATTTTGTAGTTGCATTTCCAGGGAATAAGGACTAGTTCTACATAATGTCTCAACCAATAAGTACTGGAATGATGAGGTAAATTCATGTCCACTTTTAAATGTATTGTTTAGTACATGAATATATACAATTAAATTGATACATTTGTTTGATGCATGTGTGCAGTATGTGAATGTCATATTTTACTATTGGGAAAATGCACAAGTACCCCCTCAACCTATGCCCGAAATCCCAGAGACACATTTATACTATACTAAGATCGTATTACCCCCCTGAACTTATTTTATAAGTAATTTTCTACCCCTTTTTAGCTTACGTGGCACTAGTTTGAAAAAAAAGTCAACCATCGTTGGTCCCACAAGATAGTGCCACGTAGGCTAAAAAGGGGTAAAAATTATTAATAAAATAAGTTCAGGGGGGTAATAGGACCTTAGTATAGTATAAGTGTGTCTCTGAGATTTCGGGCATAGGTTGAGGGGGTACTTGGGCATTATCCCTTTACTATTTGCATAAGAAGTCGAAGCAAAAGATTCGGTCTAAATATCATAGACCACCACTAGTTGTTTTTTCAAAACATACATTGACAATGCTAGTGAATATGAGGATAAAATAGTTGGCATAATGAAAGGGTTTGATATTCCTTGTGGACTGTCTTGGCACCTGGCAGATGATGTTTATGTCCCTGTAAATAGTAATGGGGAATTCCATTGGGTCTTGGCAGTTGTTGCATTGAAGGAAAGGTGCATAAAAGTATATGATTCCATGTCCTCAACTAGGTTTAATAGAAAATTATCCTCCGAGCTTAAAAAATTGTCTACAATGTTGCCAAACTACCTTGAGTTAAGTAGATTCTTTGAGCAAAAAGAGCGAATCAACTGGTCAGTTCTTAAATGTTACCGAGGAAAGAACAAATCTCATCCAATCGAAATCAGACATGTTACTGGTATTGCCCCACAAGAAATCAATAGTCTGTAAGTATCACATTATTTTTTTGTCTTACAACTATCAAAATTTGATTTTATTATATTTCTGATTGATGATATGCCCTGCAGAGATTGTGGACTTTATGTTGTTGCATATGCTGAGTTTTTGAGTGATGGATTAGAAGTATCATCATGTGGAATTAGTGTTGACCCCTTCGCTTGAGATATGTTTCACTCCTATGGAACTATGGGATCTCCAAGGCTCGAAATGGCTATGTTAGTAACAATGAAGAATCAAAGATTCCTAGACTAAGATCGATGAAAATGTTGTGTTAAAACCATTAGATAGGTGGTTATGTATATCATATCATTGTGAATTACCTTTTTGCTGATAAGTTGTATAAAATAATTGATTAATTGTATATAAATGTAGTTTAATCCTCCCTTCATTTTCCTTCTATCCTCTCTCCTATTAACGTAGTTTCATATTCCAAATTTGATTTATTTTTACTAATTTCAATTTGTATGGTAATAATATTAATCATCACTTGTCTGCATGTGTACAAATAGAAAGGGATCATGTGGCAACATGTAACACAGAATTGAAATATGTAGCAACATTATACTACATATATAACACATGTTACCCAACATAAAGTATATATGTGGCAACATATGTCACGGTTTGAATTGTCATAATTAAAAAAAATAAAGGACTTTAATTTTTATTTTCATTTTTCTTTCTCCTCTCCTCTCCTCTCTCTCCTCTCTCCTCTTTTCTATAAAAGTCGTTTCATAATCCAAATTTCATTTACTTTTATTAATTTATTTAATTTTTATTTTCTATTGTTCTCTCCAGTATTCCTTCCTTCACAGATCATTGTTCAGTTGATATTTTCTAAAAGTGGTTATTTCGAGTTGCGATCATCTTCTACAGCAAGGCGGTGTTGTCATCATAATTTTTAGTTTATCGTTGATATATCTTCTCAGGCAATATTTAATTAGGGTTTGAAATGCATGTGGTTGTAGCTCATCTTATTGCCCTTTTTTGACTTGTTTTCTCACTTTTATGGTTGTAGCTCATGTGTGGCTTTCAAATATTTCATTTTTGTGGTTGCAGATATATAATGGCTCCTGTCAAAGAAAACTTAATATTAATACATCGGCATAACAAAAGTCCAGAAGAAGGCTAGGTCTAAAATTGCTAGAAAGAGGAACGAAAATACTACTCTATTAGAAGATCTTGCAACTGAAGCAGTTTCTTCTTCTCAAGCAGAAGTAGAATTTTGTAAAAAAGAACATGAAGAAAGAGAAGAAGTGGAGGAAGAAGATGAAAAACAAGAAAAAGTTGAGGAAGAACGAGGGAAAATAAATAAGGTTGAGGAAGGACAAGGAAAAAAAATGAAGTTGAGGAAGGACAAGGGGAAAATATAGAAGTAGTAGTTGTGGCACAAGAAGAAAAAATAAATGAAGTTCATGAAGAAGAACAAGAACTTCATGAAGAGTTCAATGTCAGTGGTGATGATGGGATTAAAATCATTAATGCAGACAGTTTCCCTGTGCATCTGCAGCCTGATGCTAATGGTGACAACATTATTAGGTCAGTCCTGGGAAGACATTTCATCAAATTCAGGGATATCCTCAAGAGAAATCAATTGAAAGATTTTTTCAGATATAGTTGTTTCAGTCATTTTCTTGATTTATCCATTGATCCACTTCCACGTTTTCAAATGACCATCGTGTATGAACTTCTGAAAAGAAGGTTCATTTTTGAAAATCCCAATAAGAAGGATGAAATTGTAATTAATTATTGTGGCATGTAAGTTTTTTTTTTGGCATAAGAGAGTTTGCCATAGTTACAGGGCTAAAATGGCATCCTCCTGTTGAGACCATCCCTGAATTCATTGTTAAAAAAGAACCACGAAGAAGACAGAAAGAAGTAAAAAGATTAGCAGAAGCAGGACAACAGTCACTGCTAACTAAGGAGCAAGACTTGATGTCCCTTGTTGGCAAAAACTTTAAAAATTCTGACTTAGTAAATTTGTTGGAATGGGAGATACACCAAGGAAGCACAAGGAGTCATTGTGCTTACTTTGGTTTACACATAATATACTTTTACCGAAGGATCTGGGCAACAACATACTTTTTAAGTATGTCAATTTCTGTCAGGATATTGAGACTTTCAACAACTACCC